ACTGTAATTACCAACAGCTTGGAGACAATGTGGGGCAAAAAACTTCCTTGTCGAGCAACTGAAAATGAAATTGGGGCAACCAGATTTTAGACTCCCCCGACCCGAAGGGCAACTATATTTCTTAGAATTTTGCGAGCCTTGCAAGGGTATGGTACATGCAAGTGTGAAGACCAAGTTGCAGATTTTCAAGATTTACAATCGGGTAAAGCTTGGTAATTTACTGGTACATGTACTTGGTCTAGGGTTACGTGCATACATAGCTTAAGCATAATGTTCATGAAATCCTGAAATTCATGTATACATACCCGTATATGGGTAATTCCAAAAATTACCGGTCCATTTTTTTTTGTGTCGTTGTCACATTTGACAGGTGATTTTTTAAAGTTCCGAACACATTTTCTAATTTCCAGGAGTGATGAATTAATACAAATTACCTGCCAAACAAATAGTAACAGTTTGAAATCAATTCCGGTGATATTTCCCATGTCAAATAACGAAGGTCATATGTAACAAGGACACGAAAATGTCACACTTTTGGATCGCTAATTTCTGAAGTTACCCATATGTATTTGTATTAATAAAAGTTATACACTCAAAATATTCTATATCAGAGAGTCCTGAGAGCAATGGAATTGGGGAATTAAAGAAATATGGCACTGAACCTCTGGCCTGGACTCAGGGCTTCCAATTCTGAGCAATTTGGATGCAATCGGGTCTGAAAGTGGCACTATTTAGCCGTTTTGCAGAGGGATGCATTTTCAAAATGGCTAATTTTCATTCCTTTATTTTAGGGGTGGTCCGCTTTGGGTGAGAATTTCTCAAAAATTCATTGGTCAACCCACTAAAACTTGAAAGGAAAATGAAAGACGACATGTCAACCATCATTTTGCTGTCCAGCTTGGACACCTGTGAGAGTTGTAGTTTTAAAATAATTTTGAAATAAAAGGATTTATCATTGATGGGAATTTATTTACATGAGTGCACCCTAAATGGGTTTTCTCTGCATCCAGTTGACAAAAACAAGTTGACATGTCTGGAACTTGGCTCAACACTATCGTAGGTGCATGAAAGGCAATTAATCTTGTTGCTTAATGAACAGTTCTGGCACTAGGTGCCGTTTGTGCCAACCGCTTAAGCCGATAATGTGCATGTCCCACCATGTGATGATGTGGGACGCCTTCAGATCATATTGCTGCATTCATATGCGGCAGGGCTGTCGCTGAATTGCCTGGAGAAGACTGAAAGCTGAATACATGTATTCATGTAGCCAGATGGTCAGAACAAATAAACATGTGTATACCAGAACATGTGTGTACTATCCAATAATTGTGAAGGCAATGCTGCGGCATCTAGGCACTGGATGCGTCTGATGCCGCGTTTGTCATTAACATTCAAAACATTTACCATACACGTATGTGAGTCATCTGGCACCTTCCCATGGGGCTCTCCCCCACGGAATAGGATGGCAGTGATCAGATTAAAGCTGAAAGGGGATATTAAGCTTTAAAGAGGAAGCAAACTTGTGATTCTCTTTTGCATTATGCAGTGTTGATCCATGTAGATCATTCTCACCGGAAAGTGTGGAGATGTACTAAATTTCTGGCATTCATTACAATTAGCACCCTGTTCCTACAATAAAGAAAATGAAATCCACTTTTTCCAACTAACTGACAATCAGACTTTGAGGACCCATTCCTTAATCCTAGTAGCTCTAGGTTTTGGTAAATTTTGATGATATTTAGGCCAGAAAACCAAATTTTTTTTACCCAAGTTTGGAAAAAGACGACCGCATCACACCATTTTGTTTCACATCCGGTTACCTGACCCAGCCACTGTGGATATACTGAATTTCGTAAAAGAAACTTTTAATCAAGTTAATGGTGCCAGATCAAGTACCAGACTACATGCGCGGATTTGTCTTCATTCATAGCTCTTCGTTGAGTCATTTTATGCTGCCAAATTACCCCATAATTTCCCTCAAAAACCAAAGACTTTCCTTCTTTTCTTTTTGATACGAAAAAGGACATCACCGCCAACTTTTTTATGTATGTAGGTCCCAAGTTGTTTCGAAAACGTAGACTTAGGAACAGGGCGCTTATGGTAATAGCTGCCAAATTTCCTGCATAATTCATTGTCCGCGGGCGTATATCGCGTATTTCAGTGTATTTTAGTAATTTCAACACAGCATTTATGGAATTCGGGATACAATTACAACTACAAAGTACAAAAAGTACCAGGCACTTGTGTGTTGTGATTGTGAATGACATTTGAGTTGTAAAAATGTGATAAAAAAACATTGAAAAAAATTTCGCATTGTAGGAGGACTTACCCTGGATGTCAGTCGTAGTGTAACGAAGACAACGTCCAACCTGGGCAAGGATGGCCCATGTATGCATGTACCTAGGCCTAGCGCCTAGGCCCTACATGTAAAGCATTGTTGCAATGCCGGATCAGTTGGCTAGATTAAAAATTTTGTACAGCTACAGTAAACGGTTATCGCGTAAGTATTCTAAATTATGAAAACATAATTACTCCCAACAACAAACGCTTACCTTGTTATTCTTCCTTTTGTTAAAAATGTTACGAAATGATCAAATCGATGAAAATTTCACAACAGAAACGCCAAGTCCCAAGACAAGGTCCAAACAGTGCCGAGTGTTATGTTGCATGCAGGTGTTGTTGCGTGTAATACCAACGGTGCGGCCGGCCGGGCGTTGTCGATATGGCAATTTATTGTGGGTAACCGTGTTTGCACATTAAATGTGAACGGCAATGACTAGGCACGGGACGGGTACCTGCCTAATTTCTAGAATGTGGACTGGTCCATTGTACAACTAGGGGCGTTACATTACAGGTATTAAACGAGCATGCATGTACCCGTGGAGGAAGGACCAGGGCCAGGGCCAGCGCCCTGGCCAAGGGAGACGAGTCATTATTATTATTATTAAATTCAATTTACATAGCGCTCATTTCATAAAAAATGTTCAACAATATTACAAAAATACCTATCAGAACAACCATTCACAAAGACCGAAAAAAAATTAAAATAAACACAATTTAAGATTGATCTAAAAGTTTAAACCAAACATGGTGGGACTTCCACACGCGGTCAGCACCAACTCTCCCTCCAACGACCCATCGTGCATCCAAGACTCATCCTTGTACCCGAAAACTGGAAACACTCTCCAAGAGAACACCCAGATTCTCCCAGACAGGTCTAAGAAAATTAAAGACGACAAAATTACAACCAAAATTAACAATCACCCAGAGCCTAGATATTAATAATATGCTTTCTTAAAAAGATATGTTTTTAACATTGATTTAAAAGTAAAGACACAGGTAGCACTTCTAATATTACATGGACGCTTATTCCAGAGATGTGGCGCACAATACTCAACTTTGCTTGATCTCCAAGGGTAGCCTTAGCCCGACCTGATGGATAATTGAGGAGGACACCATCACTGAAACTACGAAGATGGTAACGGTTCCGAGGCCTAACGGAGACAAGCTGAATTAAGTATTGAGGAGCTAAATCATGCAAGAATTTGTATGTCATGCTGACCTTGCGGACATAGAAACAGGATATATCATAAGATGCGAGTTTTTTCTTCCATTTTTGGGTTTCCAAATGAAATTTAGTTATTAATCATAAGTAGTTTCGATTTTTTTTGGGGGGGGGAGGGAAGAAGGTACTTTGAAGTGGCAGAGGGGGGGGGGGGGGGGGGGGGGAGGGGCCCCCCCNGGGGGGGGGGGGGGTGCTGGGGGTAGGTGCCCCCCACAAATCCCCGGTGCCCCCAAGTGTCCCCCACTAAGAAAAAAAACCCGGATGAATGGATCTTGAACAAGGCTAAGAAACACGCCTCAAAAAACCACACCACTGAAAGCTGGTACCCCCCATAAGATGCTGGTACTCTCTGTGCCCCTTCCCCACTAGTAAAATCCCAGCTACTGCACTGTTTTTCACAGCGTTAATTAAAAAAGAGAATGATGCAGGGGTAAGTCTAGTCGTGATGCAGCCTTTGACTCAGAGAGGCCATAAAAATAGACATTAAGAAAAAATTGCAAGAGATGCCATAAAATACACTCAGAAAAAGTTTCAATATTTTTTCCCCAATCAAGCCTTTTTGCCCCCCAAAATTCGGTTCTGGAACCACCATCGGCGAAGTACAGGACCTGGATGGCTATATCCATGGCTGGGGCCAGGAATTTAGGCACTAAACAATAGCAGTCTGAAAAACCATCAACAGTGGAGAGGATGGGTGGACAATTCCCTGGCAATTTAATCCTTTAAACATTTACCTTTTTTCGAGGGGGGGGGGTCCAATCACCACCCCTACATGCGCCGGAGATATGCCAACTGCTAGTGGGTACCTCTGGAACCAAAATGGTGGATTATGCGTCAATGCACTTGAACTTAAAGCTGCATACCGTACTGGAAATATAATGAACAGCCATTGTAATTCCAAAGTCTGAAGTTGGTGCTACTCTCTCTATATACAAAGCTCCGACATGAAGGATTTCTATAAATTCTAAAAATACGTTCCGTTTAGGGTTTTCAATGCGATACTACGGGATTTTCTTGTGCGTAAATGTGTTTTGCAGCATAAATAGGGCCACGGCACACCGTTATTCAAATCCCCAACATTTTCTTGTGGAAAAATTAAGAACAATGTCGAGCCCAAAAATGATGAGATCGTTTAAATGTTTGCTAGGATCAACTCCCTGGTGTTGGAGACTAACCAGGCTAAGGGCAGCGTTGCTAAATTACGTTTGAAAATTGTTCTGATAAAGTTATTAAGTGCCGGCAAAAGTAGATGGGGGATTCCATTTGAAAAATGCGGGCTGCGTGCTGGCTGTGGAACTGTCACTTTTTGGGGAGTGGGTTTTGCCAATAATTAATATTTGAATTGACTAACCCACTGAAAATTGAAAAGAAATGTACAGATTGCGGATAAGACAATAACTTATTTGTTGTTTTTTGTCCCCAGAAACCCTGGTGATGTCGGCTTGCACATTATTGTGCATTGAAAATTGATGTTACACTTTTCTCAAGGGGCGTGAGGCCGATTGCAATTGCGCCCTCCATTGTCAAAGTCAGTGGTTGCCGTAGAAGCTGAAAATGGCGTCCTCCAGGAAATCAGTTTCTTCCGTAGAGAGCTGGTTGCAAGAATTAAAATCAGCGAAGAAAACCGCCCTAGTCCAAGATGGTAAATAAATATCGATTAAACGACGCTATCACGAATTGGTTTGAAAAAGCAGATTGCATTTGACACGTCAAAATTGATTATTATCATTGGTTATGCTGTTCTCATCTTCTGCTTCGTAGGCCTACTGCTGGTACTGCGCAAACACCCTCTATATAGTCTTACTCTTATAGACAGTTATATTACATGTATTATAAACGCGCATAAACTCAAATTCCATGTAACTCAGCATGCTCAAAATAACATTGTAAGATTGCCATTGGTAAAACATTAATCAAAATGAGCAGTGTTTGCAACTGAGGTGAAACCTGAGATATTTTAAGTAGCCTGTTTAATTTATATTTGTTTCTTCCCCTACATGCCCTAGCTTGCAAGAAAGTTCACTTTGTTTTCACAAATGGAGTGGAGATGGTGGAAGAATATGATCTCAAGTCAAATCACCTGCTGGGTAAGTCAAGACTTATGAATGCCAGTACTGCCACAGCTGTACTGAGTGGAGCATAAGTATTCCTCTTTTTTGAAATTTGTAGAGCAATGCCAATAGTATACCTCTTTTCCAAATTAATATAAAATTAGAAAAAGAACAATACAAACACTCCACTCAGTAGAAATAGCACACCAGGTGAAATGGATTTGGTGGGAAGATTTTGCTTTAACATGTTTAATACCCCTTGAAATTTGTCCTTGGAGAAGTGATTTAAAAATCGGTGGAGCTGTGTTGAGAAAAAACCATAAGGATATGGGAAAAGCAGTTGCTGTTGTTATGGAAACTTAGACAGGTTACAGGTGTACTTTTTTGCGCCTGTCGGGTGCATTGGAAACAGAACCCAGACCAGTGTACAATAAAGGGATTTCGGACTCTATTTCCCTTTAAAAAACCTCCAGGAGTGTGAATCTACCAAAAAAGAAAAGAAAAACGTGCTTAGAATGTAAACATGCAATCTAATAGAGAACATAGAGAAAATGAAGAAAAAAAAAGAAAAGAAAAAAGTCATGTATTGATCACTGCACACCGAGACTGCAGAGCTGCAGCTTACATACTGATTTAGCTTATGTAATGCACCAATGGCAACAGCCCATTGAAATCCAATATAGATTGGCAATGATAATTGTGCAATGTCATCGCTGTAAAATTTGAAAGTCGCATTATGGTTGCCATTACAACAGCCACTTCAAATGCAAAAAGACACCAGAAGAATTACTGGAAACTTGCAGTTTTTCTTGGAAAGTTCATCCAGATTTGATGTTTTTCCAGTGAGAAAATGGAGAACCAAGACAACGCTGGGAGCGGCTGGCAAGTGGGAGTTTGAGATTGGCGAGCAGCTCCGCCCCGTCCCGAGTCTGGAGGCAGAACACTTGCGGGAGAGTAACTTAAATGTGAGGTGCACATAGGGTGTATAGTGATAAGTCATCAGTGGTATGGTATAAAATGCGTGTACTCCACTAACACTTTCATAGAAAAAAACTAGAGTGAAATGAAAACTAAGAAGATGTATAAAATGATTTGGAATTTGTGATCGAACATTTGGGTAAATTGCGAGCTCTATTATAATCCGCATTTTTCACTTGTTATTTTGATAAATGGATTTGAAGTGTTCATTTTCATTTCATTGCTGGCCAAAATGAAAAGATGGGGCATTGCGGATGTCGATGTCTGCCCCGGTGGTCAAATTCAGACACATAAACATTTCTTGACCGGGTATGACATGACGGAAACCTCCCTGCCAACTCCCCACCTGACACACCCACAACTGGTGACATACATGTACTTCATATCAACTGCCAAGTTTGACAATCGTAGTTGACATACAACATAATTTCCATGCCACTGACATTCACAGAATGCGTGTCCACCGTGTTTCTCCCTCAGCCCATCTTTATGCGGAAGGATAACAAGCAAAACTTCCAGTGGAGAATCCGGAACCTGCCGTACCCAATTGATGTGTACAGTGTCACCGTAGACAGTGAAAATAGAAGCTGTATTGTTCGAACCTCAAACAAAAAGTGAGTAGACGTGGTCGGTTTTCATCATTTGTCCTTCCCATCATTGCACTTCTCAAACAGAGTGGTTCTGGAGAATCTCGGGGGCAGCAAATGTGATATCTGCAACTTAACCACACTGGCAGATTGTTCTCTCAAGCCTTTTCAGTTGGTAAAGAGAACTGACTAGAATCTTATTTATGTACACTGCCATTAGAGCTATCCAGGCCTGTGCTGGTTGCCTTCCAGTGAGTCAATGTCTGTGATCTGGGGGGCCAGTCACAAGGCATTGTTAAACCCATGCATTGAGGAATCATTAAGCCCAAATGCGGTTTGTACCCGTTTGGCTCCTGAGCCTCTATATGTCACTACTGTTTGCCAACCTGACCCCCCAACCTGACCCCCAATTACCTGGAAACAGTTCAGTTATGTGTGTTTGTCTTTCACAGGTACTACAAGAAGTTTTCCATACCAGACATGGACAGGGCTGGCCTTATGTTGGACCAGTCAGCGCTCACCCTTGCGCACGCTAACAACACATTGATAATTACGGTGAGTTACCTCTACATGAGGTTGGGCTGGGCCCTCCTCCTAATGAGGAAGATCTCATGTGCGGTATTTATGGCACACGTCATGGCTTGGATGCACTGTCAATGGCTGATGGGAACACCGTGATACTGACAGCTAGTTACCTCAGTGTGAGGTTGGCTTGGGCAGGCTTAAAGGTGGCCATATCAGAGCTTAGACTGATAACCTCACGAGAAAGATCTGATGTGAGGTTCTATTAGAATCCCTCACGGCAATGGCAGCAGGTTACCTCAGTGTCGGGTTGGGAGATTGAAGAAGCCTTGTTTCAGCCCAGAGGGCTCCAGTGCCAAGGGACTTTATGTACGTGTAACACAGGGTCTAACGTGAGGGTTCACAACAAGAAACTCATGGCCCCAGCATGTTAGTAGCTGATTGAAGCAATACGCTTGGTGGCACTTGGCAAAGTATGAAGCTGGATATTTTAGAAGCAGGTTCTTGCTCCTTTTTTTGCATTTTGTACACAAAATTAGAGCAGGAATTCACACACGTTGTCCCCATGGTATTGGGGCGAGAATTTATAGCTTTTTATTAAAAACCCTGAAAAGCCACAATATTTTTACTGTCACTGCTACAACCCCATTGCTGGATGTTCCATGCATTTTTCTTCATCCACCAATATCACAGTACAAGAAGCCCCAAGAAATCTTGAAGATGGAAAGGCTAGTCCAGCAGGAGATACAGAAGATCAAGGCTTCCAAGGATGGAGATGTGGAATGCAATCCAAGCTGAAGGGTGACGGTCCCCTGGGTAGAAAAAAAGGGGAAATCCCTGGGTAAAAAAAACCCAGGAAACCTCACACAAACGTATTGCAATTCCAGTAAAGAAAGATGGCTTTCCCCTCCCCTTTTAAAATGTTGACGTGGAACGTGAAGCAAATGAATAAGTTCTGGTGTCAAGCACATCACACATGGACTGTTGAAATATGCCGTCAGTTGTAAGCAAGCTAAACCCTCAACCGTCCACACAGTATCCCTTTTTGTTGGGCAGACTTTTAGTTCAGGTTGGCTGCAATAGCAGATAATCCGCATGGAACTCTTTTGAGCTGCCAGGATTCTCGGTGTATAGAAATAGCCTGGCAAAGGGGTCTGTCGACTGTACCTCATAGACGTTCCTGCCTGCCAATTTCTACTACGTCAAGTCATGGCTGAAACAACCCAAGAACCTGAAAGTGAACCTTTCGCAAGTCCACAAAGTTCAAAATGAATACTTTTCATGCTTTATAACCAATCAACTGTCTTGTGTTACAGCACACACAAGAATGGTCATGTTATTTCAATTTCTACTCATCCTAATCTCTATTATTACGCATCCCTGAGATGAATTAGCATCAATTCAATATCAATAAATGACTGCTGCTTGCTTGCTTGATTTTTTTGTACATTTCAAAGACGAAGTGGTCACTGAAGTAAGTGAAGTTGGCTGCCTCATGTTTGAATCGGCACGAGAGACCCTTGACTGAAGTGTTTTTTTTTACATTAACTTGGATAAGGTGGAATGTTGGTGAACCTAATTATACATAGAGCTCAATGCAAGTGTCAAATTTTTCGACCAGGTTGTTGTGACGCCAAGACCGTCTTCCAATACTCAACTTTGGCTCCGTCTCAGGCTTCAACTGTTTTTTTACTAGCTGACTTTAAAGCTGTAAGCGCAGTAATCAGTGTAATAGTGCCACAAAATAAGATGCAAGAAAGCCAAAAATTACAGTAATCCAATGTAACTTAAATACTTCAGGCCCACAATCGGGGATTGGTTCTTGGAATGAAGCCTGAGATGGAGATGAAGTTGAGTATTGGAAACGGGCCCAACTTATCCCAATCAGTTACCGACAGAAATTCAGATTATGTTAAGGTGCACGTACCATAACATCATGCATGTACACATTGGAACACAAGGAAATCTTTCATTAATCTGCATTGTATTTTATTTCATTGCATTGTTATCTGTACATACTCGTGTATACATTTGTATTCTTGAAATAAAAGATTTCGAAATGTCACGAAGAAATTGTTATTTGTCTTACATGCGCAGATAAATAGCTCCGATTATTGCAGTTTTGGAACTTAAAGTAACTTTGTGAGTTCAGCAGGTTTTGGATTATGTTTTCTTTTCTGGGCCAATTGGAAGGTTAAAGAACTGACACACATGAACGTCTCAGTCAGGGTGGTTCCTGGTTTGAACCTCACCTTCACAGAGTCAGGTATGGAAAAGGTTTCTTTAGCTGGTGTCAGTGTTGTGAGCCATGAGCTGGGCCAAGAGAGGGCACAATTTTCCTAACAACGGAAGTTCCTTTGGTCGAAACTGCCTTTTGCTGGTCCACGAACGATTATGATTCATGAAATGCACGTTACAGTCGTGTTGCTTCCAGCAAAATGAACACTCCCGACCAACCTGGCTCCGTTCAATCAATGAGGGGGTACTTTCTGCTCTAGGTGGATAGTTTTGGGATGCAGTATCCCAATGCAAGGCAATTCTCTGCCAGGCTGAGGTGCTCGAAAAGAACCCCTACAGTTTTTTCTAAAAAGAGGAGTTTGTATGGCCCAAGAAATAGTGGAACTCTGTAAATACGACCCAGGGTCAACTCCCTAGATTAAGGTGCTCCCATCCAAGGGCCAAAAAAGAGAAAAATGCTCTTGTAAATTGTCCAAAGAGCCCGAGAAAGTGGAGGGGTGTCACTTGAAAAATGACTGCTGGCAGACTTGGGAACTTTCACTTTTTTTGGGTGGGGGTGTTTGTTATTTGATGGATAATGAAAACTCTCATTGGTAAACATACTAAAAATTGAAAATCAAATGAAATCTGAACGACCAAACAACACTCTGTTTTTTTTAAAGAGGCTTGAGGGACTTTGGTTGTCCACACTTGGGCTTTGAACTTGGGATCGGTCATTCCCAAATGGGTTGATGGCTCATGCCATACTGTGTTAAAAGCCTCATACCCGATTTGTTTCTTTACAAGTGTCTACAGAAGAAACTCATCGTCATATGAAGCTTTCCCTTTATAAATGGTGTGGCATGTAAGAGAAGCTACAATCACCTTTACAAACTTGTCAACCCTTTCGGCACAGACTATGATTCCCTGCACAGCATTCTGGGACGGCGTTTGAAGCCTTAGTTGCAAACTGTTTCATTTTCTCAACAGCTCCGTTACTGTTTTGGAGGGTTGCACTGACTTCAGCTTTTGCCCAATGACTTATGTCATCATCGAAACGATCTTTCAGTTGTTGTCTTTGCCTGTCAGTTCTATATGCTTGTTGGGGGAACACAGTTGGGCTGAAGTTGGCATTACTGACTGCAGAACATAAAGACCTATTCAACTGAAGAGAGTCTGGTTGCTCCACAGCATCCGTGTCGGTTCTGGTCCTTGTGTGGGACTTCAAACCAGCTGCCAAACACCGGTCTGCACCGTAAGCACTCTTACTAGCAGGGGCTCCTCACTTCATAGAATTTTCCCAGCACACAGTACTCCCCCTTGCTTTCTCGTCTACCACGTGAAATTGGGAGGGGCGTGCAGCTGTGCCTCCTTTGTGGCTGGGGTACTTTGTTCAGCGCCCTTCAGCTTGCAGCATATCTCGACTTTTGCAGATTTTCTTTTCAGGAGGGTAAATGATCACAAACTTTGAACAGTTGACCTTTTCTCAAACGGTGTCTCTTGTTTTTGTGGCTGGAACAAAGAGAGTTATCATATTGTCTGTCCATCTCAAAAGCAATCGGACACTCGCTTTCAAATCCCTGCAATTCGTGGATGTCTTTCACCATGTTTTTTGTAGTAATGTCTTCCAGGTTCTCTTGAGTTATAATTTCACCACGTTTGTGTGCCATTTTTAGCAGTCCCCATCTTGATTGAACAGCCATGTCCATAGCTGTCAGGAGCCTCCTTGCACCTGCCACTGCGATGCCCGTGTTGTAGAGCCTCACCTGAAATGTAATGTTCGGAGTAGCAGTACATCGGCCAGGCCCCTTTTGAGGTATTTTGGTGTACAGTTTTTGTCTCTGTATCATAAATCCACACTTGTTTGCAGTGCATCGCTTCCGAAACAGCCAAAGCTCTGCATTCTTCTGCCTCTGGCATGAGTTCAGGTTGGCCATCACTCCCGGGATGCAGTCTTTGATGGTCAAGTGTAGCCTGTGAACCCAGCTGCAGTGCTGAGCGTAAACTCACAAAGTGATATCCTCCTGATTGATTTGTTCCATTCTTGGGCTGGAGCTGGTGGACCGGAGTAATTTCTGCAGTTTTCGGTCAGAGTAACATCACGTTTCTACACTTGGTCTGTGCTGTCGGTAGTGGCAGAAAAACCCTCTTCCATCTCTAGAAACAGATAGCTCAAGCTGCTTAAATGTTGAACATACCAAGGCTTTTCTGTCTCAGTTGCATCCTCACGGGCATAGCGCAGAGTTTTGGGTGACAACTCATGCTTGCGTTTGAACCAAGTTTTTTGTTCTTAAAAATTCCCCGTCTAGCTTGACCCCTATTGTACCATAAAATATTTATGGCTTGCTCAATGATTTTCTTTGGGTTGCTTGAAATGGTTTTATCTTGAAATGACTGGTATCACACTTTTATTAATTTTGGTCCATAGTGATGGGTAGTTTTGTTTGAAATGGTTTCCAAGTGAAGGTCACCAGATACGTCACAAGTGTGTCTGTGTGTGTCTCCATAAGTATGCAACTTGGACAGGCTGATGTTCCTCTGGAGGAAAATAACCTGATTGTTTCTGTGTGACGCCAGGGTCACATTTCAATAAGGGGATTGTTAGCCACTGTTTTAAATATGTGCTACATGTATTACGATCAGATCGCAACTTTGTGATGATCAAGCCTAATGGCTTGCTATCAAAATGTCCCATTTCCCTATTTCAAATGAGACCTTTGTAAAAGTTCTGAAGGCAAGCATAGGAGCTCCATTCTCACTTAGAATTCATTTCAGATGTAGATGGTAGTGGTGGTCATGCTAATGGGGGATCTACGGAAGGCTTTTTAATTCAAACTTTAATTGACTAAGGAGAAACTTTTTCAATACTTCTTCCTTAACACTGAAACCTGATTTCCACCCCCATTTTTAGTGAAGTAAATATTCCAATTAATTTAGAAACGGCATAGAAACCTTATGAAACTTACAGACACACGAATCAAACAAGCTGCCAAACCCAGCAAACCATGGACTGGAAGGTGCTAGTTCATTATGACAGAACATTGCTACTGCGGTGCTCTGTTGTGAGAAAAGACAGTCTTTGCTGGCTCAGACTGTGCAGATTGCTACAAGCTGACCGTGAACAATTTGCTGTTTATGTTTATGTTTTTTAACGATGGGGGCAGCTTCCCTCAGGGGGCCCCAGGCTCCCTCAGAACCCCCACACACACACACAATGGGCCCCTTACGGTACTTTGGTTGCCTGCACTGGGGCTGTGAACTTTGTTGATTTTACACTGTTCTCGACGAGGCATGAATTAGCTCAGTGCACCCTTTGTACTGGTCAAAAAGCATGACATAGACTTGATACATGCACTGATCAGTAGCTTTCTCAACTCGCACTGCAGAGTACTCAACGAGATCTCAACATCTCAGGATGGGTATATTCCACAAACCTTAGTTCGAAGGGCTGAGTTTCTTCTCAGTTTCTTATAGTCTCCTCCCGCTGACATTCAATGAGGCCCAAAAAGATTCTCCAACCCTGACATTTCAGAGAACCTTCTGACTGCACGGCAAATGTGCTCAAACGTCCACCTGTCCTCCGCCAGTGCGTGGTTTGCGAGGGTGAACGGTCCTTGCTGAGTGCGAGTGAGCTCTGCCAGGTGTGCGTTGGTTCTTAAATCTGCAGAGGTCAGAAACGTTCAACCTTGAATGATAGCATGAATGTAGTAAAAGGAAAAAATGAGGATCTTAAGTTTTAAAACAGCATCCTAGAAAACGGCAAAAAATAATCCATCATCCCTCTTCCCCTAACGGGCAAAACCTGGAGGAAAAACCCTTTTTACCTTGGCCAAGGTCTTCTATTAGCTGTCTGACATAAAACCCCCCTCCACAGTGGACATCTGGAAACAAAACACAGAGAACTATTTGAATATCGTCTCGTGATATTACTATTTGCATATTTGCATTTGTATTCTAAAATGATGCGTCCAAAAGCTGATATGCAAAAACCTAAATACACAATCAGTAACTGAAGGTTTCCATTTGCTATAGCAATGCCAATGTGTGCACGTATGTGCATATAATTTTACCTTGACTTTTTAAATAGGATTTTATCGATACCCGATGCGCACTGCATTCAGAGTACATAATTCAATATTCAGTCTGTTTGATTTCCAATGTTCTACAAGCACACACATGGATTAATAATGTCTCTGCCCAGGACAGTGTGAATTTTTACCCGCACGAAGGATGAAAAGTAAGCCCTCTAGTGACTCCATGGTCAAATCAAAGAAATAAACAGACAGGTAATTACTGCTGAATTACTTGCCCAGAGTGAAATACGGAGGGGAAAATTCCACACATTTGAGACTGTGGACGGTCACGGGTCTGGCTGGTTTGGTCATGACAGTTTTGCCACGGAGGGCCAAGTCGGACATTCGAACGCCTCCAATCTTGAGAGCTGAGTACCTTGTTTGCATACAAAATAAGAGAATACGTAAACACATGCAGACCTTTGCAGAAGTGTGCCATCACGGGCCTGTACAAACAGTGCAAACGTTGACAACTTCTCAGATGAATTTTGGGGAAATCAATAGGGAATCCTTCCCTGGAAGCTTGCCACAAGCAACGCACAAGGTTTGTGGCATTTCAGCTGGTAACCCATTTTTGCTTAGCAAACCCGTTTGAGCAAATTTCTTTCCCCGGTAGCTACACAATGTTTGCATCCAATTTCAAATTGCAAGCTCCCTCTTTTCAGCAACTCTGGGCTTGTTTTCTTGGACCTAATCACAAAATGCCTTATGACCACATGCGATTTGACATTTCAATTACATACTCATGACACGGATTGTTATTTCACACCCTGGGAAAAAGCCTGATTCTTGCAGCACAACGACACAAAGTGAGACTGCACCCAATGATAAATGACTTACACTGGAGGCACCTGCATCGTATCACCTACAAAGGGCTGAAGTGATGATGCTATCATTTCCTTAGTAACATGATCTGCAATGTTAACACACACACACACAAATTACAAACAAGGTATTTATCTATCCACAAGATTGTTTGCCGTACTGGTTGTATGGGCCTCTGTACCGATGACGTCACACTTTCTTTACTTGTGCGCTTTCCTGAGGAGCCAGTGGGGGCCATGGTCCTCTGAGCAGCATAAGAAAGCACACACGTAAAAAAAAGTGTGGCGTCACCAATAAAGAGGTCACTGGGTGCTCAGACGATGTGCAACAAGATGTTTGATACCACATTGATTACCAATATTTGCGCTGCCTAACTTTTAGCGCCATATCTCTCTGCGCATTACTTTAGGCATAAGGAGAGAAGCTAGTGGGAACTTGCTATGAAAAATTGTGTTTCATACTGATGACTAAATGCATCATAATGGAGTATAAATGTGGCTATGCAAACGGCTCCACAAAGTACATAATTCATGGGAGAGCTTTATCCCATTTCAATTTGTGCAATGAATAATCATTAAACTTGGAGGTTACCACACATTGGGCCTACCTGCTGGGGACTGCTGCACGACTTTCCCCAAGGCATCTTGCGTGTCTGTGGATGAGCCTAGACAGCCGACAGCCAGGTATCTCTGAAATAGGAATGAGGAAATCTTAGGCCTCTGGACTCCTGAGCCTTCAGACTATTGGACTCGTAGACTAATTAACAGTTGAACAAATAAGCCTTTGGACTGTTGCCTTTGGACTACTGAATCTTTGGGCCATTGAATCTTTGGACTATTGACCTTTTGGGACACTGAACCTTTGACTTTTAAACTTTCAGACTACTGAACTTTTGTTTGTAGAAATAAACCTTCAGAAAAATGAACTTTCAGACTGTTGGCCTTTGGACTACTCAACCTTTGGATTATTGAATCTTTGACCCTTTAGACTGTTGAACCCTAAGACTATGGAACTTTTAGACTGTTGAACCTTTGGACTATTGAACCTTTGGACTATTGAACCTTTAGACTGTTGAACCTTTGGACTATTGAACCTTTGAACCCTCAGACATGGAACCTTTGGACTATTGAACCTTTGGATTATTGAACCTTTAGCCTGTTGAACTTTTGGACTATTGAACCTTTGAACCCTCAGACTATGGAACCTTTGGACTATTGAAGCTTTAGACTATTGGACCTTTGGACTATTGAACCTTTAGACCGTTGAACCTTTGGACTATTGAACCTTTGAACCCTCAGACTATTTACCTTTCAGAATACTGAGCAGGAACTATTGTGACAGCCAGTCTCACCTTGTTCCCCTTCAGCAGGGACGCCAGCTGCTTTGTCCCCCGGCCTATCCCTATGACCAGGACCCCTGAGGCATTGAAGTCCAGGGTCCCACCATGGCCGATCCGGAATCTTCTTGGTGGCCTGTCGTTTGTGTTCCGGGCTCGGCTGCTGCTGTTAAACTCGAGCAGCTGCTGCCTTTGCTCTGCAAACATTGCAAGTGAGAAACATTGAATGGACAGGCAGCAGTCCAAAACTAAAGGCAGGTCTAGAACTAATTTTTTTTTTGAGCGGGGCCAAAAAATCTTGAAATTCTTTTCTTTTCTGTAACCTTTATGGCCTTACTGGGGGACTGTTTGTAAACATGCTTTTGAAAGGAAGGTGAATGGAACATCCCAAAATCATCTCTCTCATTTTTCTCCTCCCATTTTTTAGGTCTTTTTTGGGGGGAGGGGGCATGATCCCTGTTGACTCCCCTGGATTGCCCCTGCTCAGAACTGACCAGTCTAAGGAGGAAATTGAGTAATGCAACACTTTTACAAATTAAATACCCTGATCCTTTAAAACCCAAGACCAACAAAATTTCACTTTACTTGTTATCTGAGACATACCTTATGCATAAGGAAATATACACCACTTGTGTTTGGTCAATGACAACTAGGACCTTCAAAATAAAAAGCCTTCTGCATAATGCCTTCCATTAGCAAACAGCCAGAGATATTTGACTGCAAGTGTAGATCCCGAATAGACCTTTTCACTAGTAAATTCATAATGATGTACGCATGCACACAAATGGCCTAGGCGGCAAGGGCCATTGAAAATGTATCAGGGTACGATTTTGATAATTTTCTCTAAGGTTTTCTGGCTTTGTTCAGTTTGTTCTGTAGAAAATCCCATTAAATCATTTTTGCTATTAGTTTCTAATCTAATTGGGATTTTTCCCACTTAATCTCGAGCACAGAGGAAAAATCATGATTATAAAGACTTTTTACAGAGCACTAAAAAGCTCGCTGAGATTAGATCGAAATTGCAGCCCTGTACATTGTTAATGGCCCTTGCTGCCAAGGCCATTTGTGCGTATGCATAAATAATTATGAATTTATTAGTGAAAAAAGGTCCATTGCGGTGAAAAGAAGACAAAAAAAGGACAGACTCTCTGACTAGAAAACTTCTTGTTGCAGGTTCAGGCGGTGGTCATTTTAATAGGTCTTATACCTACCTCTGACCAGAACTTGCTTGAGTTGGTTGACCACTCCTGCAGAAGTGATGCCCTTTGGTTTGACCACTGCAAAGAGACCGTTCAGATCTGAGACCAGCAGCTTCATCATACAGCATAGACACCACGCTTACTACCAAATGTCAGTCCTGAAGAGCAAACCAGGCACCCAGTTCAACACACTCACACTAATTGCCCTTAAAGGGGAAGCAGTATTAAAATATATGTTCATGTATCATCTCTTTTCCGCAACACAATGGTGCTTTTCCAAATAAATCCAGTAACCAAGAGCACCCTGCTCCTTAGTTAATGGGTTCAAAATTTTGATGGTTGTACTAGCACCCTAGTCCAACTGACAACCAGTAGGTCTCAAAACGAGCCAAAAAAGGATAGCAAAGACTTGACAAAATACCTTCAAATCCAAATACCAGCTTCTACGATAAATCCAACGTAGTAATGTCTCATGTGACTGTCAAAGTAAAAAACAAAAAGCACAGCGCATTTGGTCTGCTTTAACTTGAGTAATGCAAGCCATGGCGAGCTTCAGCGTGACTAGGGCTTACTTGAGCTAGATCTGTTTCCCACGCTATCTAAACCTCACTACTGGCCTTTGGCCTCATTTTAGGGCCTCCTTCTTTTTTATTTTCGTCCTCTTTGAGATGGTCATCACGAGCATTAGGGCTGAAGTTACTGCAGGATCGCATTCAGGGGAAAGTTGATCCAGAAGTTACCAGGCCAGGACCCGCTCCTCTGTTCAGCCTTGAGGAGGAGAACAACCTGGTCAGTCACCTGAAGAGGATGGCTCTACTAGGCTACGGATACAGCTGGGCTGGAGTCATTGATATAGCCACAATTTATGCAGTCAATCTTAATAAAAGGGATGAAGATCATCCACTTAGCCTCAAGTGGTTCCGTAACTTCATGTCGAGATGGCCTGAGCTGGGTGTGAAGAAGCCACAAAGCCTTGATCTGTACAGAACAAAGGCAACCTCTGAAGAAGTGGTGAAGGCATACTTCACTGAGCTTGAAGAGGTCATGACAAAATACAAATTGAAGGATGCACCAGAGCGCGTCTTCAGTGTGGATGAGACGGGTGTCAAACAAAACCATTCCCCACCTTCCATCGTCGGCTCAGCCTCATCATCCAACCCCTACTTGCCGTGACAAGTGGTAAAGGAACGACTGTTACCATTATCGGTGCAGAAAATGCTCTGGGACAGCAACTACCTCCATACTTTGTATCCTGGTTCCCAGGATGAGACAGGAACTACTCAACGGTTACTTACCTGGTACAGGTGGGACCATTATGGCTGGTCCAACACTTCCATCTTCATGACATACCTCTCATCGCACTTCTTGAAATACGCCAATCAAAAGACGAAACGATACTCCTTCTCCATGATGGCCGTCGATCTCACATCAACCTAACACTGATTGACGGGGCAAGAGACCAAAATAGTTTGCTTTTTGTCTTGCCTGCTCACAAAAATCATTTCTTGCAGCCACTTGATTTGGCAAGTTTTGGGTCATTTGAGAGCATATATGTAATTCTCTCTGCCACCGACAACTGCGGGCCAACTCCATGACAGAGATCAACTGATACACAATCTGTGAGACTGCATGCAATGTACATGTATACGCAAACGCCCTTTTGCCTGAGAACTTGAGGAGCTCCTTTAACCCTAACAGTCCCAGATCCTCCAATTTCAATATAATTTTACATACACCCTAGGGAGTTAGGGTTAAAAAAGCTGGGATCTACCCACTGAATAGTGATGCAGTTGATCACGCCTTGTATGCACCAGCCAAAGCTCTAAACTTTGAGAACAGGAAGGTGATGTCTGTCAGGTGGTTGGTGACCATTCATCTGTCAACCTTCCTGATTCATCACGGCCAGATCTGTTTAAGGAGAGAGAAGACTCAACAGGACAACAGAAAAAGGTACATGTCACTCTCTTTGTGATTATTCACTAAATTGTTTTTAAAATCCCAATCGCTGTTGTGAACAAGCCAAAGTTTTTTCTCTATTTACTGAAAGATCCCGAAAAAGAGGCGATGCCTGAGCTTGGTTGTGTCCGGCGAGGTCATCACAGAAGATGTCTCGAGAAATCAGATCTCAGAGTATGAGGCCAGCAACAAAACATCATCCAAAGGGAGAACAAAACCAACCAAGCCTGGTCCAAGTCGTTCTCCTGCATGGGAATACAACATTGCTTCGGCTACAGCACCACCAACGCCAACTGATGATGATGACAACAGTGATGTAGATATTGATGACAGTAACAAGCGCTGTGTTTGCCACTGATTTTGACCCACTGAACCCACCAAATCAATCCACCTGGTGTCGTGTGGCCAGTGCATGATTGTAAACTGCTTGCACTGGACACACATCAAGTACAGTTGCAGTGTCACCCGTCTAGAGACAAGGGCTACATTTCATTGTCCTTGCCACGGTCTTCCTTGCCTCCAATCCACAGCAGAGTAAAGTTTATGATTTCTAAGGGCGGCTTATAAGCACACATTGTAAGCACTAAACATGTTTGTTTCAGTGTTACAAATAAATGATGTGTGTTCAATTGAAAACATTTTCCAATTCATCACTTTCAATGGTTTCCTGTTCAATGAAAAAATAAACACAGGCTTACAGTTGGAAAAAAATAAATAAAGCATTGGGAAACTTTCGGAGTTGAAAGCAAAGAAACACCTGCAATAGTTTTATCTTTTTATTTCTAATTCGAAATTTAAAATCATAATAATGTTTTGCGAGGTAAAGAGAAGTTGGTTTGCAAAAAGACGACTCCCCGTGGTATAGGATGAGATGAAGTCGTACAGCAGGCACCGCGCTGCTGCAAATATTTATTTTACATATGGCTTTACTTGGGCACCATACCTCCCATACAAACCTTGAAAATACAGTCACGGACATCGATGGGTGGCGCGTTCATGAGAGCATCAGAGATCGCTCCATTGTGCAAAAGCCGCGAACGTGTTCAAGTTTTGATAATTGTTTTCACATTGCCTGTGACTGAGGGATGATGATTAGGTCATTAGTTGGTATCTTGCATTTGTTTGTATTTTTCAAATTAAAGAAAAAGCCTTAAGTTATTCCCTTGAAAACTGGTCTCTGGTGGATATATGTAAAGACACTCATTCTCCAATCAAAGTATATGTGAAGACATGAATTCGCAACAGAAAAAAGTATGTCTGAATCTTTGGCTGACCTGCTGACCAGTCTCCAAAAATGTGCATTATGTTCTGCAAGACCAGCATGTCTGATTTTCACAAAACTAGTGTCAAAACTTAACAGTCATGACAGTCGTCACATAGAACATACTGTAGCGTGAATACTCGAATATTCTATAGAATTGACGGTTGAATATTCAATTAGTGAATTGACTCAGCCCCAGTCATCACAAACTTCAAATTTTCATAATTTTGCCAGAGACAGTCCAAATTGTCCACATTAGGGGCCTACATCATCATGATGCATAATGGGGCAATTTAGGCCTACAGTATCCCAGGCTGGACGTCTTCATTATATTAGTCGTAATTGTAATGAAGACGTCGTCCAACTTGGGCTTGGCTTTCACTGTATAGACTACATACATGTACATGCACTTTCCACTGACACAGGGCCTACAAGTCGAAGTCTGAACATAACGTAACATGCTAGCTGAAGTGAAGGCGAAGCCTAGCGCCTGACGTAACTTAAGTTAATGATTCCTCAACTGCATACGCTTGCTCAGTCCACGCATTTGACAGGCCTTACAAGGCTTAAATGAATTTTCCGAGATAAGTGTACGAAACTTTCTGGGAATTTACATGGGAGCAGGACTTACCATTCCTAAGATATCTGAGAGAAAATCTGTGTGAGAATTCAGGCTCCACATACTGTGATGCCTGTACACACTGTTATGGCAGCGGCGCTATACAATCTTTGGTTATGGGCATGGGAGCTGAGACCCGCGTGTGGTCGACGCGATTCGATGCAGTGCGCCACCACGAGGTATCCACGATGGGCCCTTTTTTGTTTTTAATCATGATCAAGCTTGACCCGGGGAAGTTCATAATCCGTACGTAACACACTACTCACTTCACAAACTAACGACTCGCATTGAAATTTATTTTTACACAACACGAAGGGTTAAAAAAGGTTGCAATTGGCTTTCATCTTTATATTTATTTATTAATATTATTTCAAAGGGAAGCAAAATCCAAAATCCGACGTCACAGCAACAGTAGCTTGTACCATGCCATGCAAGCATCAAGACTAGTCTCTTCTCAAGACTAGCAATAAAGTCATTTTCCCATAGGAAAGTACACAGTGTATCCCTAGACTGTTCCGCTATAAAAAAAAAGGCCACTGGTATATCGTCTATCATAAACATCCCACCCTTGAATAAAATTGACTCCTGATGGCGCCCTGCCGGAGCTCTTGGATAGAAAGAGCAGGCTACCAAACTTTTAGAAATGTGCAATTATTTTACGGTCATTAACTAAAAAAACCCTCCAAAAAGGTCTTTGTAAAATATTAACAAGCATATTAATTCAAAAACACGGGAAAAAATCTGAAAGAGAAATACCTGCCAAACATTGTTCTCTCACTTCCGAAAATTAAAACTCTGTATTCTCAGACGCAAATTAGAATTTACAAACTTATATNAGAAAGGCCAGAACGTTTTATGTAAATTTCAAAGGAATAAACTTACAGGAATCATCTACATTTGCGAAAGATTCTAAGGTCTCATATAACCTTTGCTGACAAGGTGTGTCAAGTGAGCTTGGCTGAATCTAGAATCCTGAATTAACTGGGATGACACCAGCGTGCACTTTGCTCGCCTTATCCCAGCTATCTTTTATTCAATGGATGTTTTTGAACTTAGTAATATTTTTAGGTCCACCTACGAAATATTCCCAGCAATTATAGTTCAAATTATGGTTGAAGGTATAGGCTCGTGAATTTTACAGCTAGCGCTTAGTGCGACTAAAATAAATCTGATTGAATTAAACAAACCGTAATTAAAAATCGTACGTCTGGAAAATGAACGGGAACTTATTTTAAATGGCGATGTCTGCCGCAGGATTGGTAGCCGGTGTTGGCCCGCCACCGCTGCCGTTGTCGTGGCCGCTCCCCGGGCACCCTCGGTCCTTCGTCTTGTTGCCGATAATCACGCCGATCACCAGTGCGATCAAGAACGTGAGCGGGATGCTCCAGCCCAGGTGGACCAGGGCAGACGCTCCGGTGAGCTGCTCCTGGCAGGGCTGCTCGTCGGGGGGTCCAGAACCCAGGCCGTCGGCCCTCGGCGGCCAAACGCCACAGGTGGGGAAAGCAGCTGGGACTTGAGGTACATCACCGTGGACATTGAAAAGTAGTGCCATCCCCATCTAAAAAAAAAGGAAAAAAAAGAAGAAAAAAGAAAGAAGAAAACATGCACTTGCTGTTAAGGCTGAAAACCATAAACAGATAAAATCAACACCCTCATTGGGAAAATCCTTTCGGATGCATATCAAACAAAGTTTATTTTGCCATCTCGCACTTTCTGTCCACTTTCTTGGAGGGCTTTATAAGGGGAAATAGGCCATCCAAAGATGGGCATCCTTAAATTAGTCCTGAAGTACATTGCAAAACATACTATGTTTTGGATCTATTTTCACCAACATCTTCACAGAAAAAAAAAACGAGTAAGGCTTGTTTACAGCTGACAGCTAAGCACGAGAAAGTTCTGGACTACACACGAGGAAGCTCTTCTTCACGAGGATGCTACACGGATGGCACTCGATGTCCGCTGGGAAGACTGCGTGCCCAACATCTAGCTCTACTGATATCACCCAAGATCGGAGTGTAGAGGATGAGGCTGGCGCGGCGGGACACTTTCTGCGTCGCTCTGAGCTAGCTGCGAGCCTGCCAGTAGAACCCGCACTAATTAACGGGAGCAGGGGGAGGAGACTCCCATACATTGACCAGCAGAAGAAGGACACATGTCGCAACAGGAAACCGCTGACCCGATAGGATTCTGATGCTAGATCGGGATGTGTGGAAGACGACTACTAGAGGCTCCCCAAAAGGGGTCGGCTATGGAGACGGCCTCTTGTATTACTAGCTTCCACTTTTCCGACTCCATAAGTTCTGAGCCCCAAATCCATCTGACAACTGGAAATTTGAGCGCGTGCGAATAGTTATTTGGTCAGTGTGGGTTATGCTGAGGCTTTGCACTTGCGCGCAAATTTGACAATTACGATTTTTGGAGGTGTCTGTTTCAATTAAGTAGTAAATTATTTCGGTATTTTTTTTGCGTACCCTGTTGTTAGGTCTAGTTTATTTTATCCCCTTGATAACACAGCAAACATGGTCGGTATGCACACCCCACCCTCAGTGAGAAACACAAACATATCTGACATTTCTTCCAGACGTAAATCTGAGACATTGTAAAACTGTCACACGTTTTGTTTGTGTGTGTGGCCTCCAGGAGCACATCCACAGTTTATTAAGGGAAATGTAATTATTTGTTGAAAAAATTTATCTGCTTGTTTCTTGAAAGGTGTCAGCAACAACCGTATCACATTTTGATCGATCAATGACAAGTGAGTTCAGTCAAGACTTGTGGTTTACGGTACTTTCAGTCTCTGATCCAACGAACCCTTATCGGAGATGGCTTGACTGGTCAGCCATCTTATAGTTTGGTTGCATCGACATCACTATTACTAATCATAAGCCATGCTTATCACACTGTCCGTGCTGCAGGGCGCCAAGATCGTCAGCTGTCGTTGTGACATTTAGAAAAGGGTTGTTCGCCCTTCCGTGGAAGTGCGTTATGAAGTAACCATTTGTCACCTATTGGTCCTCGATTAAACTTGAAGCCTTTCTAGTTGATGGTTAAAAACCAGTTTCCACGGTCCTGGTTACAAGGGAGGATCCCTTAATGAAAAATAATAAGAGAAAGAAGCATTTTCCTTTCAAAGTATGTAAAAAACACGCAAAATGTAGCCTCGCTCTTCAAAGGGCCATAAAAGGTTAGGCCAATCTAAAAAATTTCCATTTTTTTTGGCCCCAAAGAATTTGGTTCTGGATCTACCCATTGCCGGAAACATCATGACCCCGAAATGAAATCAGTTTACCTCGAGGTGGAATTCGATGTGACAATGGAAGATCCACCAGCCTGGGTTCCAACCCTGGAACTGGAAGATGGTGTAGCCCATGTCAGGGACGATGATGACGTCTTTCCTGGGGCCGTTGTTGTTGCGTAAGATGGAACCTGAGACAGTAAGTGTCGATTGACCACTGAGTTTTGTACAAGACATAATCAGGTTGGGGAGAACCCAACCACAAAAAAAGTTTGCTGAAATGTTTGCCGAACTAACGCAGCTTTCATACTTGCCTACAGCTGATAAGCAGGATAGTTAAGATGCCCAGATGGGTCGGATGGCTGGTCGGGCGGTAAGTTCAACCCTGTGGTCGGTCGGTCAATTGGTTGTTCGGTGAGTCAGTTAACCAGTCGGTCGGTCAGTGAAAGAAAGCCACGTGGACCATCTATTTCCTGGATCTCAACTTAATGGCTTAATTAATTAAAGCATGCATGCAGAGTCATGCGGGTGTTGCAGATAAACATTTTGTATCAGTCAGTTCAATAAACTTTAACCGATACCGACCATTTGCGAGAAGCTCACGGACCAGCGGAATTGTAACGCCCTCCATCCTTTCCATGGCAACCACCTCGAATTGTTGGCCGTGGAGGTGCATCGGGTGCAAGACGCCAAAGTCATCCGAATTAACCAGGATGACTTCGATTCTCTGGAAGTGGAACATATAAAAACGAGAGATTAGTTTCCTTTACAGACTGTCTTAGGTCAAGCCTTGACGTTCTTCAAGATTTTACCTTCAAAATATTAACAAACGTGGGTATTTTTTCGGAAGTTAAAACTGGCATACAATACCCCAGTTGCCGGCTACTGTAAAATTTGGATAGCTTTGAGGAAGATTTTGTCCCCACGTTCATTGGACATGTTGACCAACGCTGCATAGGAAAAACCAAGCAAGTTGGGCAGGAATTGGCCAGTATAAATGTTCAATTCATGGTTGCCACGTGTATAAAAAGTAATATCCAACCCCGTTGTCCCGTTTTTACTTGCTTCAAAGGAGGCATGTGTATACCTCTTTCTCGCCGACATTGATGGTGTGCACGCAGGAGCACAACTTCTCGCCCGCGCACTCTCCCTGAGGGAAGTCGGATTGGTTGCAGAAGATGTTCTCCGGGAGGTCTCCGAACTGGCTCAGCACCGGGGAGGTGGGAAAATAGTAGGTGATGTCGTTAAGCTGGGGGTAGGTCATCAACTGGTTTGTGGTGGGGTCACGGCGGCTACCAAACCCGACTTGTATGTACTCCTGACGATCCTCCGCCCCCTCGGTTGACCTGTAATCGGCGTCTGTAATACGCCAAACATCTCTTCCCATTAAACGGCTGGGTATGTTATTTCTTGACATGTTTGACTGGGCAGATTAAAAACTCAGTGCAAATACCACCCATTACCTTGGTTTCTTACCCGGCGTATATTTCGACGCATTATTTTTAAGCAGCTGCAAACGCAAGGCTGTGGACAGGACTGAAGTATTCCATTTCATCTTTTTCGATCGCTCTTGCAGTCAACGACGTATGCAGCGGGATAGGGAAATATGCGTCATTATAAATACAATTCGGAAATTCAATCATCGCATCTCCCCCAAAAGGAAAGTAGTTGACAGGTACGCCACTGTTGTCAGAACTACCGGTGGCATGACTACAAGTGGCATAAGTAACTTAACCAAGTCTACAAACCTGCTGAGTCGACCTGAGCGAAAGACTTGCCCGGGAAAGCTTGCCACCAAGTTGAAGAATTCCCGTAGGTTGTGATGTTAGGCAGTTCGTTGATGGCGGGCGGGTCGTTGGCGCCATCGTATCGCAGATATGCAATCTGCTTGGACGGTACGGTGTTGCCGCACGGCAGCCCGATGACCTGGATCTGGTAGTTGTCAACAGTCTGGTTGGTATTCAACACGAAGTCCATCCGCTCCCCTCCATTAATCCTGAAGTACTCCACCGCCTGAGGTTGGAAAGGCCCGCCATCGCTGGCTATCACCAGCAGCGTGTGGTTCTGCACCGAGAACTGCATGTTGCAGAATGAACTGGCCCCGTTGATGACCCGGAAGCGGTATCTTTTACCCTGCTCGACATTGAAGACTTCAAGAGGTGGATGGGGAGGGCTGATGCCCGGTGCTATTCCTTTTCCTGTCATCCGAAATAAATAGGATTGTTATAACCATTCCACTGGTAATTAAGTTAAACAACAAAACAACAAAAATTCTGCTTACACAGGTTTGCTTATCTTGATTCAACTGGCCACTCGGTTTTTTTTGTTTACCTCCCATCACATTCTTAAAGTTTTCAATTTTTGGCAAACTCATTTCCGGGCGATGCAATTTGCAAATGCAATCGCGTGTATGATGTCTTACCGAATGTAAAATGGGTAAAATAAAAAAAAAACTACATTTACCGTTAATCAGGATTGAATCTACGCGTGAACCACCGCCCCATTGACTTTTCGCAAACTCGCTGACCGAGGTGTCATGATGCCAATCGTTCAGAAAGATTACATTCTCAGCCACGTCCAGATCGTACAAGTCCCCATGAGGGTCGGTCCGTCTGCTCTCCCTGATGATGAACGGACCCATCAGCCCGTCTGAGCGCTGCAGGCCGGTGTGGGAATGGAACCAGTGGGTGCCGGGCTCGTAAGGCGTGAAGCGGTACTCGAAATTGCCGGGGGAGGGGATGGGACATTGTGTCACCATGGGCAGACCGTCCATGAACTGGCTGCCGTTCTGGAAGATGCCGTGCCAGTGGATCGTTACCCCTTCGTTGTTCTGCAAGTTGTTGGTGACGCTGACGACAACCTCGTCACCGCTACAGATCTGACAGAGAACACATTACGACGGTTTGTTGTGATGCATGACAGGCCAACCTATAGATTTTGTGATTAAAGCCTACAGTTTGATTTTTGTCTGAGAAGCGGAAGGGTGTTATCAAACTGAAGAAAATCTTATGTGGACAAAACAGCGTAGACGCGGGCTCACCTGAACGCTTGGAGCTGGGAATACTCGATTTATTAGGCTGACGGCTCGTTGAACTCCATCAGCTGGGAAACACTGGTCGTTAGAACAGTCGCTTGTGATGTTTGGGCACCTTCCACACTCAAGAAAGAAAATGGTGTACAGCACATTAGACAAGGCCTCGAGAAAATGATTTGATACAAAACCTTCCAATAATATGATATTATAATGACATCATTACGAAACAATGTAGAGGGCGATGTTCATGATACAGATGTCCATCTTTAATGTGGCCTATGGCTGTTTTTTTTATTGGTCTTCTTTTCTGAGTGATATTGAAGGCATTTTATTTGTTGGGAAGTCCAAAACATTCTTAGCTGTCTGCTTTAATTTTTTCTCACTATGGAAAAGTAGGGGAGGAAGATTCAATAGCCTGGCCCCCGCTCAGAAAGTGGGGGGGGGGAATATATCCCCCATGACTCCGGATTTAAGCCTATGGTTGTGACCACTAACCATGAGGTATAGATTTGCCCTTTTGAAGGAGCAAGCACGCCAGCAAATTGGGCAGCATGAATCAAGATCATTATCCGTTGAACAAATGCTCATAGATCGTTATTGGATCTTCAGAAATATCGGTCAAACTAAGAAAAAGAAAAAGAATGCATTTAACATTTTCAGGAGAGGTGAAAATAAGTTTTGATTCTCGTGATGAAATTTGCGAGAACATTGAGCATAACACCTGAGATGAGAAAGCAAAACCCCCAAATTTTGTCAACCAAAAGACGAGAGACATTACGCAAAGGTATCAAATCTCCAAAGTCCCCACAATTTTGAAATGACCCGTGACATTTCGTTAACCACCAACCTGGTTTGAAAGCGCATAATACCAGTTCACCGTCCAGTTGTACGTGCAGATCATCGGAGTGGTGAAGTCACACTGTCGGTAGCATGGGTGATCGTCAGCAGGTCTCAGTGCTGTGACCACTGATACGACTGTGACGAGTAATTCAAATAAGCGGTATGAGCGACAATGCTTGCGTTCAAACCGAACACTGTTTTGCAGTGAAGAGGAGTGGAAAATCTTAAGCCTAAGTTTGAGACTGTTGCATGCAGGTCAGTTTCTGCGTAATCTTCAGAATATATCCATTTCACCCTGCATTTAATCTGCTTTTGCTCAAGTTGATGTGAGGAATAGCTGTTGGTATTCGACCTAAGCTTCTGAAACTTAATGCTTTTGCAAGGCTGAACTGTCACACTAATGCAACATCTTTCCAGTGTTCCGGGGGGAGAAATTTATTCTCACTAAACGACTGTGCATTGTTTCATCCTAAAAACAATACCTATACCAAGAACAGTGTCAGTTCTATTCCCAATGTGTTAGCGCTTCTAATTCGTTTAAAAATAATTTATTTTGATCCTGGCTGTGTACGCTACTTTCGGGTGCTGCTGAAAACCTTAAGCCAGACTCGTTGGCCGTTCTCTGATTTACTGCAAAATGCGTGGCTCAGCTTTGTCGTTTTGCACTCTACTTGCTACAAAAAAAAACCACAAGTTTCATATTTCAGAGGCATTTGTTATATATCTTCAAAGCCTTCCCCCTTTTATTAATTGGCAACTGATTTTTTGGTGCATACGAAGGTTTATTTTATTTTTTTCTTTGGGCACTGGGCAGTCTTATTTTAATCGAAAAGGGTGGCCCCAAAACAGGCAACCGTATGGAGAACAACATCACTCAAGAGAGTCCATCCGGTGACTCAAACAGGCCTTGTGGAGTGTTTACAATTTAGGAATTGACAGAATGGCAATCATGGCCGATGGCTAATCCCACCTTCACTTGCGAGTTTTTTTTTATTGAAGTTAAAAATATTGGATATTAAAACTCTTTTCAACTAGGGTAGGACCATATATACACTGTCACATAACACCTACATTGTTCTTTTATTGTTGGTTTTTGACTACCGTATTTAAACTAAACATTAGAGTTGTGCAACTCAAACAGGCCCTACGAAGTGTTTACAATCGACAGGTGACATCTATGTATGAACATGGCCAACTAGTTTACTCTTGCCTTGTCTCGTTTGTGTTTTGCCCATTTCTAATTCGAAAATCTTGTGCTGATTGGTTTGTGCTCTGATTCGGGAAAGTGTCCAAGCTCTGCACGCTCGCCACCGGCACATTTTATATCAGTTCCGACTGAAGGTATAAAAACCCACCGTAGCGCTTTAACTTACAGATGGTTGGGGGATTCATCCATTCCAATTCCCTTTGACTTCCGAAGACTGAAAAAAAAAAACTTATGTACAAACGGTACCTGTTAAGAAGACAACTGCAGTGACAAACCCCGTCATGGTGGAGAAAAAAACTCAGCGCAATGCTGTTTCAACTGCTGCAAATGACTGCAATGGATGAACGAACCCTCAAGCACACTTTTAAAAGTGAACTCTTATTCAAGTCTGCAGATTCGCAATGTACTGTAGGCTCATTGTGATTTTATTTATTTATGGTAACTTTTCTTCTTTCATGAAAGCTACCATTGTGTTAAACCAAACATGAAACCCGGATTTGAAAATTCTGTAGTTCACTTATAGATCACCCATAATCCAGGTTTAATATATTGTTTAACACAACGGTGGCTGTCATGAAAAAGAAATTAGTGACGTTAGCCTTTGGCATTTGACTCATCATTAATGGCACGTAGCAACGAAAAAGCCTGACACCGCTGTCGCTATTGATCTGTCTCTCTTTCTGCTCATGAAAGGCTGGCAAATGATCGCTGGCCGTCAATACAAACATGGTAAAACTCTAACTACTTAATAAAGATAGTTACGGTTGTGGGGCAAATGTCCATTTTGAGGCGATATCTGGAACCAATCAAAGTTGATATTTCAGCAAACTTCGACCGCCCTTATGGATTGTTTGGCAATGACAGCGGTTAATTCGAAATAACCCTAAAGAGCCGATCCTCTCCTCTGGCCATAGGCCTCCGCACATTCTGTCACCACTTTGTTACGTTTAGCCCAGGGTATCAAACCAGCAGGGTGCTGAATTTTGATATTTTTTAAAGCAGTAGTTGTGCAGTGGAAATAGACAAATGACTTCAGATGAATATTGAGAACTACATGCCAAGTTTGGATTACATTTGTCTTTACGGAAGACTGGAAACAGAAGAGACAGAAGGCAAAAAAAGAAGAAAGGTTCCTTTTATGCAATTTGAAATACTGACTTCTCCACTCCGCATGGATAGCCGTCTAACATAAACTGAATTACACAGATCTTACACGATCATTCCTCTTGTTCATGTATTTCAGAAAAAATGGAGGGACAATTTGTCTCATTTATTATGTTTTTTAAGATGAATTCAACAAAATTGTTACCAGCATAAGGAAACTAGTCCCATTTTAGCTGGCCATATAAATCACTAGATGTTAACAATCCAGTGTTTGGACAGTAAACATTACCTTCCGTTGGCATGCTGGTTGACACAATGTGCATGATGGGAAAATTATAAGCATTATAAGCCTTAGAAATTTTGAGACGTTGTCATCCCTGGAGTGCTTCAAAATAGACAATAAAGTATTCATCTCAACCAAGTGGAAATGATTTTTATTTCAAAAGGGCAGTGTACTGTAAACTCATATCTGTGACTCCACGAAGCCAGGACATACCTAAGCTCCCCTAACCGAAAATCAACCGACCGGCACGGCCGTCGATTGTTCCCTTTGCAAAAGTGATGTGCCCAAAAACTATTCACATTGGCACTTCACGCGGAAACGACAGGGAAAAACTTTCTGCGGCACTGCTGTTCACATGAACATGCGCTGCTTGCACATGCGCAGATTAGCTCAAAAGTGACGCAGAGTTTTTACCTCGGCCTCGCAACCTCACAAGCGTCGTGTTGACAAGTCTACGGCTGGCTGTGACTACAAGGTAATACGAATAAGAACAGAGAATAAAGCTGAGTCCCAATTACTTGGCTGTGACTTTAAACTACTTGAGTCGATGGTTGTGGCTGCATCTACTTCTCACCATGTTAAATTCAAGCCACAGACAAGTGATTCAAACGTGACTTAATTCATGAAGTGTTATCAAATTAATGTCATACGAACCCTAAATAATGTGGTCTAATACTTCTACTAAAACCCTAAATCAAAAACAACTCTCACTTCAACAGACTACGTGAAGAGGAACATGCCAAACAAGGGTGTATGTTTTGAACTATTGCCGCCAATACGAAATGGGTTTTCAACAAAAGAAACGTCTGTCTTGGACCATCCATCCAGATTTGTTGCCCCCCGTGAGGAAAAGGGAAGTGTTTTGAGTACATTCTGACCTGAGAATTTCAGTGAGTACATGCAGTGACTCTTCAGTCCACTAGTATCATGGGAGGTAAAATGGAAACAGGATTCACCTTTCTTTGTCTGTGCCCCGAATTTAAAATACAAGTTCACATGATACAGATGCCAACAAATAGATTGTGTCTTCTAAAATAATGTATCACATTCCTGAGTACCCCCTAATATTTTACAACGCTGTGTAATAATTGTTATGCCTCACCTCAGCAGATCTGTAACTTCCCACTACTTTTCTATGGCTGAGAACAAGCAAGCAAGGATGAAGGCTCATAATGCACACAAGTACTGCAGGGTCTGCATGTTTTTATTGTGAGCTCACCATAGCAGTAGACCACCAAAGCAGCATAGAATGTCTAACTGAATCATGACTTTAACTAATGTACATGACCTTACAATTCACCTTCCAATATTAGTCATGTCTTTCCTGGCGAAATTTAACTTTGAAATGGTTTTATAAACTTTAGTATGGATCCATATTTTCAGTTTAGAGACTCGAATTTTAGGGGTAGCAGAATACGTTTCATGTTTTCATACGACGTTTTAACACCCCCAGGGTGGAATGGGTGCATTGCATAAATGTGAGGATCCTAACCAGTTTTGGTTGACCAAATTTAAAATTTCCCCTTGATTTTAGGCAGAAAAGAGTTGTTATCTGTTATCTAAATGTTTCACACAATGTACCAAATGTACCAAATGTACATCCAATGTACCAAAAATTGTATTCTAATATGATAAACGCAACTTATGGAAGATTTCATAAGTCCTGCAGAACTAACATAATGACATGTTCCTAGTGAACCCCTTGTAAGATGTAGCTCCAATACTGATATCTTTGATCAAGATCCTATTTATTGCTCTCACAACCAGTATCAGACTAAGCTGGAAAGGGAACATGTCAGTAACAGCACAACTTAAGTTGAACTTTGTTCATTGTGGGAATGGCTATGTAAAAGATCGAGCAAAGTCAGTCATATTTGAATGGTTATCTGACAGTGTTAACTTTATCGCATAGATTCCTCCCAATAGAGCCTGAACGTTGACCCCTGGATGCGTAAAAATAACGTGGAAAGATTTTAGAATTTGTAATATTTTTTCGCTCAGTTTCTTTTAAAAAATCCAACTTGGAAAAAGGGCTTTGAAAAATATTTGCTAGTATATCAATTTATGGAAACTGAACAATTATTTGATCTAAAAGAGAAATATGCTGCCAAAAACTGATCCATCACTTCCGAAAATCTAAAATACATGAAGAACAATGCAATGCAGCAGTCTCGTACGTAGATGGACATTGCCCGTTTGAAACTTTATGGTAGTCTGTGGGTAAAAGCCGAAATGAAAACAGATTAAAATATTTTACACACTCAGATAATTTATAAGGTAATACACATAACGCAACATTCTACTTTTACGAAAGATTCTAATATTTCATCTAACATTTGCTGACAACTGCGTGATGTCAACTCAACGGAATATGGAACCCTTCTACTGCAGGTAGGTAAATCTTTGCAAGGTTGTACAATCTCGTTTTCAAGAAAGCACGGCGAGTAAAAACAGACGTTCATGCACAAGGAGACCTAGGTACGACGTCGCCGGACGTGAAAGGTCGTTCATAAACTTCCTTTTTTACCCATCTCCAGGTGACTTTTCCAAAATATTACTTAAGAAAGACAAAGGTAAAATTCCAACATGAGTGTTTCATGGGGTGGTTTCAGTAAGGAATTATTTTTCCAAAAATTATCGAACGTGATAGGACGGCCCAATGTAAAATCCCCATAGGCAGACCGCTCGAGGGTTCCGGAAGCTCGCTGAGTGACCTTTTACTTTCAGGCTCTATTGCAGGTAGTTTACAGATAGGTACTTCGGGTACTGGCAATCATAGTTACTCTCTTACACTATGTACGTAGCTGCAGCAACTCTACAGGTCTATACAAACAAATTGAATTCAACAAATGGGAGTCTCTGAGAAACTTGATGGCAATTCATGTAAAGCTCTCCATGACAGCGGTCCACTCATGTTTACGTCAACAAATGCAAAAATGCTCAAAATGCGCTAAACAAGAGTGGACTGGTCACGTTTGACCAGCATGTTTGCAGTCACACAGCATCTCAAAATTCTCCTGCCATGACAAGGCAGTAATGTTATGTGTAAGCTGAATGGCGTGTAAGCTGAATGGAACTCAACAAAGGAAAAGGAACCGGCGTCAGGTGAGAGTAGGGCGAAAACATGATCTCGTTACAGAACATTGCACATTTAAAATTAAAATGAAGCACATATATTTTAGCATCACACACGACTTAGTGCACGCACACCGCACAATATGTAGGTTGCACATGCATGTACATGTATAATTATACCCCAAACATTAGGCATTTCACGGCAAAATATCGAACATACATTAGACATCGCACATAAGATTTTAACACATTGCGTATACATTGTGAACTCGTATTTAAGAATACTGAATTTTGCAATGTTTGGCATGCCTGATAGTGTGCGGCGTGAACACCATATTTTTACACGTCATGGGATATTTACTCAATGACTGGCGTGGTGTAGGCCTATTTGCATTTTGAGTTTAAAAAGGTCCGTCTACGAGAGTTATTGTCAAATGTCACAATAGCTTAACCTTTGGGTTTCGGTGCCGCTGCTACATTTCAATATTACTTAGCAGACAGTGTTAGCAGACAGTGCTACAGTGTAGGCAGCACTTAATATTTTAGTTCTGATGAAATGATGCAAAATAAGAAGTGAAATGAATTTCTCGGCAAGTAGCGACTACTGCAAGGATGCACGGTTCATCCAACACTCCGTAATACTGCACCACATTTACAAACTAAAATTCCGACCTGAAGATGCAGTCCTGGACGTGGGTTGCGGTACGGGAGAAGAGACTACATCAATCGCGGAAAAAGTCAGGAATGTGACAGGTACAATTATGCCTTCGTAAATAAACAAATAGTGACTGACGTGAAAAAAAAATAGTAAAGCGCAGGCCCCTAAGGTGAAATGTCCCTCATTAAGATGTTATGT